GGCATACCCACTGTCTAAGTGGGCATGGTGGTGCACCTATTATTTTGGTGGAGTCTCAAATTCTCAAAAGCAGTAAAAAAGCGTTCCAGCTTCAACTCTCGGTTTGTTTCGATTTTCTATTTATTAATTTCACAGATCTAATAATTTTTCGAATTGTCAGCTCTAGTACACTTAGCTTGGGGGCTGAAAATCGTTAGGGGAGGCTTTTTTTTTTTTTTTTTTTTTGGTTCATGCATCGCTGTCAGCAATAGTAAAGATGATACAGCCAGAATTGATGCTGTATCAAGAACAGATGCCAGTGTATTCTCTTTTAACTGTGATGGCTTTGAAGATCTAATAGCACTGAAAATTAGTAAATAACTATTTTTATCACTGAAGTCAGTAGTTCTGACTCAGAATGTCCACTAGGGAAATTAAATAACAGGATTTTTTTTAAAATATTGTCACTCTTTATCCTAACTACACTTTAAAAAAGAATTATGTCTATTATAGAAATGAAAATATTATATTGGTGTCATTAGAAACTAATGAAGAATGTTACTACGTACTTAGGTAAATCAATATTATTGCAGATTTTAATCATGTGATTCTCAGGGTGCCCAGCTGGGGGCACTGGGCAAACACAGAAACACGGCAAGAGCCAGCGCGAAGGAGACTTTTTTTTGTCACTATCCTGCGGAAGGGGGCTGAGGAAACAAAGCAAACCACAAACAAAAAAACCCAAAACAAAACAAAAACACACAAGAAAAATGGATGTGAGATACAGTTGTCGTTCTGGATTTAGGAATTTTTTAAGATGAAGTAGATTTCATTTTCAAAACTTTTTTGCTACTAGCAAACAATTGTGGTGTTTTATTTTCATTACCCATAAATCATCTGGTTTCTTTTGCAAAACCAAGAATCAGTGATTTTTTTTAAAAAAAAAAAAACATCCCCTTAATCAATAACTTCAAATTCTCATGGGCCCAGGTAGAAAAGTTATTGTAAATTTAAATTTGTTACCATTTGGTTTCATTAAACGTTTCCAGCCTAGCATAAATCATTGGCTCTACCTGCCTTCAATATGGCTATTTATTCATTTATGTGAAGGGAAGAACTAGAAAAAAGTAGAAGATGCTCCTTATTAATGTACAGTGTAAAGCCCAGCATACTTTACAGGCCCATGCAGACCTTATACACACAGATTTAGTATCTAAAACAAGACCTAAGGAGAAGATATGATGTATTATTTTGTTCAAGGAATATCAATGATGCTATTAGGAATGTCATAGAGACCAATAGTGGTTTCATGCTTTCAACTCGTATCACTGAAAAAAATTACAAAATATCAGTTCAGGAATTCATAGCCCTAATTTTGTTAATTTTTCTAAAACAGGCCAGGCAGATGATTTATAAATTTATCAAATTAGAGGTGAATCAGGTATTCAAAAGTAAAATTTCATAGCAGCTATAGAAGAATGCATGAAAGGGTGAATATACATATTGGGACTGCACATCTGTAAATGGATGTACCAATAAGGAAAGTAAGCATTCAACACAGCCAAGTCCATAGTAGCCTAGATCTTCATTCCAGTTGGCATTTTTAATTAGATTTTGCAATAGTGCAGTGGATCTCCTGATCCCTGTAGCTCCTGGCTTTCTATCTGACCTCTGTGTTACAAGTTATGACTGCTTGCAAAGGATTGAAGCCAAAAGTTTTTGTCCACATCACTGGCTGTTAAAACACAGGGACTTCTGTCTGGTGTAGATACTTAGTTTTGGAAAGACAGGACAGAACACTTTGTTCATCTTTCCTCATGCTTTTCCATATGCACACACACCAACACACAGAGGAAAAAAACCAAAGCCCTAATCATGGTATACTTCTTTAGTATCTTCCATGTAACCATAGAAAGCAATCTATAAATATTAAAGCTTCACAGCTGCAAAAACATTAAACCCCTCAGGTAATCAAAAAGCTGAAGTAACCATCAGCTGGTCAGTTGTAAGTTTTAGGAAAGGTTCAGGAGTTCTAATTTCCACTCCTTTAATCCAAGCGCTAGGCCACAAATAAAAAATTAGCCTGGAATTCATGATCAAACTTGTAATAACAAAACTTTGTTTATACCTTGCCAAACAGTGAACAGTACCAATTGCACTTTATAAGATGCTTATTGTTACAAACCTATAAAACATGTTTGCTTTTTAATATCTCAGTATTGTTTTAAGAAAATGAAGTTGCTCCTGGACCTTGAAACTTTGAATGAATTGGATGACACGTGAATATATATTAATTCTTTTTTATTAAAGTATCAAAACAAACGTGAGAATAGAAAACAAACTGCTTTTAATGCATTTTAAGGATTCTCCTGAATAGAGTATACTTTCAGAAAACTCATGCAACATACTGTTCCTGTCTAGCTGTTTAAACACTCTTCCTGGTCATAGTCAAAGGAACTCGAGTACCATCATTTCTAGAGCAGCGTGCAGAAGCACGCATGCACACAAAAGCAGTAGAAAGCAGCTATGACTGCACATATAAAGAAATAAAAATAGATTATCTTCTGACAATAGTAGTGGTACCATATTAACATTTGGCATGCTAAGTAAATAACATCAAGCAACAAAAGCATGACGCCTGCGTCACCGGTGATATGGTTAAAAGCAACCATACAAATTCCCTAAGGGAGACACATGAATTCTGTCATTATATTCTAGTTTCTGTGGTAACACTCTATAACAGCACAGGAGGCAAACAGTTTTGTCTGCTGGTACTTGATGCGCAAAAGGCAAAGCCAAGGTGTATGATACCAGGATAATGCCTTGGTTTTGTATTTTCACATTACGGAAGTCTAATACCAATGAACATCGTTTGACAAGTTTATTATAACACACTTCATGTGTATCTGTTGTCTGATAAACACATGGCCCAATTCCCTGCGGAACGTGCCCTCTAAGCCAGAGAAGTTGCAGTGGAGGCTCCAAACTCTGCCTACAGGACACGAATAAAACTCTCACTGAAGTCAATGGAAGCTCCTTCCAGCACACAGAAAGATAATGGATTTTCAGGACAGAATCAGACCTAGTATGTCATCTTTGTGACACATTCACTTTTCAGATACATGAAGTACATATCTTTAAAATGTGATATAGGACATTACAATATATCCAGACCTCAGGAAAACGTACTAAGAAGTTCTGTTGCAGAATATAACAATTGCATATGGATCAGGGATGATATCTAATAGACTCATCTGTGACTTGCAGGGTAAGAAGCTTATGGCTGAGGTATCTTTAAGTTTAGCCTTTAGAACAAAAACACAATTTCAACACTGCGTAACAGGTGTAAAATATTATGTACCGTAAGCTCCATTCTTATCTGCTTCATTTAAATTGTGACATTGAACAGCTAGACACCACCGATGGAGGTACAGAATTTTGGAAGGTATAATGTCCACACCCAATCGTTCAAGATACTCATTGCTTCATCTGTGGAAAAGATGAAGGAGAAGTGTTTTCAATAGTGGTGTCTCAAATACAACTGGTGAAGTTTAGGAATATATAATATTAAACACCAAGAGATAAAAGTAAAAAGACAGCGCAACACTTGTGTTTTCAGTTTTATCTTGCTCGCAGTATTTATTAACACTACTCATTATGATATTAGTGATAAATAAGGATAATATTTTCTTTTACAAAAAATTGTAAGGATATATTTTATATGATTAAACAATCTGAGAATTTCACAGAAACATCAGAATTTAAACACTCATAGCTCCAACTGTTTTGTCCAGCAGCTCTTCTAGCAGTTCAAAAACACCTAAGGTTAGTATTTAATAAAAAATAAAACCAATTATTCACTACATCAAAACTCTTGCCTCCTTTAGAATCTAAGTAACAGTTTTGATTGACCATAGTTGCCACTCAAATGTAAAATAAAAGTAGCTGCAGTCATAATTTTTGCCTCTGAATCACCTGGCGAAAGGAAGTAATCCTGACCAGGATGGAAAAAGATTTGTCAAGCTCTTAATAGGAATAAGAGCTACCTGCATAAGCAGACCCAGTGAAGTCCATGGAACCTCTTCTGTGAGTGATGGTTAATAACACGAATTAAGGCTTCTAGGATTAGATCCTAGATGATTTTTTTAAAAAAAAAAACCAAACAACTTTTCATGATTCATGAGCCTGGGATTCAGTCCTGCAGTTCTTTACTCAGGCAAAACCTGTATTGATATCCCACCATGGTTAGTTTCCTCTTTCCAGTGGGTCCAATTCACCAAGTCACCAAGTGGTGGTACAAGATGCTCTTCAGCATTTCAAGGAAAAATTGTAGTTCCCAAAGGATAGTAGGTGGAGTTCAGCTCATAAAATACAAGCTTAGCTACGTGCACATTTTGCAAGAAACATTTCTTTGTCACAGCTACTAGGCTCTTCAAATTCAGTCTATGAGATGAGTCATAGAAAAAACCCACACAAGAGTTGTGAAAAAAATGACAAAGCTTAGTTGGAACTAAAGGCTTTGTGTGTGTGTGTGTGTGTGTGT